ATCTCTAAAAGTTAAAATAATCCGGGAAAAAAACGTTTTTCTCCTAATAGTGTGCCGGAAAAATGTAAAATCTCAAAATTGTGAGTAACAGCAATCAGTTATTGAGATCAAGTTGAAAATTCTAGCATCTGTTGCAATTATTTTTTAAAGAAATTCTACATTCTAGTTGAAATTTCGTCATTTTAAACACACGTAGAAATAAAAATTTAGGAAAGAAAAAAAAACAGAAATCTTTTCTCTAATTCGATTTACTTCTGAAGTCATTTATCCTTTGATATTTTGGGGGAAAGTGAAATATTTAGTATAAGGGAATCCCATTTATAGCTTGTCTACTTAACATTTCTTTCATGTATTTTGCTTAACAGTTCACAGAAGCACAAAAGAGGCAACTAGTACTTTTAATAAAAAGTGATGGAATATAATATAAAACAGAATTACATTATGGTTAAATACAATTTATTTCTGTGTTCTTAAAGATCTTTATAGAAACGAATAGCGGAACACACTGCATTTAGGCAGTATTTAATTGCAAACTAAGTTATAGATGAGGTTTGCTTTTGCAATAATTTTGGAAATATTTACAAATTTGAAAAAAAATTCTTTAAAAAAACTCTTTTGGGAAAATAGAAATAACAGAAAAAAAATTCATGGTGTTTTTTAAAATTTTCATTATGAATATTTGTATTCATATACTAAAATGGTATCGGAAGTACAATCAAAAGTACTGAGATTTAAAAGTGCAACAAAAAGTATGTACTTTTTAAAGATTACTTTCTGACATACATTACTTTCTTGCAATTTGAAGACTGCATTAATGCGTTAACAATTTCATAAATAAAACTGTTGAATTCCTCATTAGTAGTATTATCACAGTCAAAATGTGCCATATGTTAATAAAATTGATGTTAAAGGGCAGTATGATGTGATTATAGGTTCTCAGAAAGTATTTTACTTTGTTTTTTTTTTCCTTACTACTACCAATTTTATGCAATAATTCAATTGCAAAACAATCAAAATTTTATTCGTTGTGACTTACTTTGTTTCCCAATCTGAGTCAGTAGCCACGACACTCCAGTTGCCTGTCGCAGGATCTAACCTTTCAACGGTCATAAATGTATTGTCAAGCTGAAATTAAGAAAAAGGATGATATGATGCTAACTAAAATTTTATAATGTGGGTTTAAATCATTTTGCTGTTGTTTCAGATGCCACTTGCAAATACCAGCAATTCTTGGTGAAACTAAGGGAATTTAAGACTGAGGGTGCGTTTCGTGTTTTTCAGTGGTGCCATCTAGGGCCAAGAATTCAGCCACACACGCGTCACAGCCCGTTTATAGGGCGGACCCATTTATACATCTATTCATTCATCCACAGATCGTAATTTCCGACATCGTGCTTTTGTTATAACTCTCAACTGCCAATCCGTATAGATGGTATTTTATTTTTTCTTGTTTCATTACATAGCTCAGCAACTGTAAACTAACTCGAGTCTGAAATGTGAGGGAACTCATAGATCAAGAAGTCGAACAAACTCAAGTTTGTTGTGGTCATTTTGGGTGACACTAACCTACAGGGGCTTTACGCAAAAAGAGCCGAGAATCTTAAATTCTTTAACCGTGGTCTTGTAGTCGCCTGACTTTTAATAGTTTAACAATGCTTTTAAGCTAGGTCATTAGAAGTGGAATTTGTACAAATCATTTAGCCTAGGTCTTGTTGAATGTCATACTGACCAAACAAACGTTTCAACTTTGGTCTCAAATTAATGAATTCTTTAATGGTAATCTCAAACATGTCAAAATTGTTTTTGCTTAAATTACTTACTCGATTTCAGTGCTAATTATTATCAAATGAACATAGCAGAAGAACTTTGAACGGAAATAAATAAACAATAATTTAGTGAATTTGAGAAAATTAGTTTTATGTTCACATATTCTTTCGCAATGCTCTAGATTAATATCTAATTAAATTAGCAAAGCGTGATGCTGATTCGTAAGTTGTTTTTATTCCTACGAACTGATCAATATTATTATAGTGAGTTATTACATTTGAAATGGTTTGAACTTAATTTTGTAACCCATCAACGCTTTGCATTTTTTGAACGATTTTAGAAATCCGAAGGAAAATACAAATCTTTGTAATATTTAACAAAATTTTTTAGGTATTCATTTCTTTTAAGTTTAAAAATTTGGAAACTTGTATCAAATACTTGGTTGATAATGATTAACTTCAAGTGCAGCTGTATAGAAAGCCCTTTTTCAAAATGTTTAGGGAAAAAAACGCTAGTTTGTTCAACTATTTTGCTTGCATTCAGCAAGCATTTTAATAAATATAATTATAGGAATATCTTTGTTTCTTTCGAATCTTACGTAAATTTTTTATTGCGATAGTTTCTGCGCTTCTTAGTTTGACAGAACTTTTTTAAACAAAAAGAGCCTTAGTTTTCTGCAAAATGTTATTGACTTGGGCTTTCATGTCTTAACATACTCCCAGAGCTCAAACTTTTACAAGTTTGATGAATTTTTAAACCTTGATTTTAAATTTGTCGGTGAATCTTCTATTCTAAACACAGCTCGAAATGCGTGTTTAAGAAAATGAACATAGTTTGAAATGCACCTTGTCATTTTTCTAGTCACATTTGAAAACTAAACGAAGAATTTCGTACTTAACTGTTAATTCTTAAACATTAGATATAATCATTACTGGGCTAAGTTCCGGATTCCGAAGTCAGGGGGGTTGGGCATATGACATATCTAAATTTTCAGGTATCTCTACAGGTGCTGAACACTAGACGATAAATAGACTTTGATTTTAAGAATATAAATTCGGACTAAGTCAGTTAAATACCATTATTATAAATTTATAGGACCGATGGCAATCTCGTTAAAGAACTCTCGTACAGATTTTGAACACTAGACGATAACTAGACTTTGATTTTTAGAATATAAACTCGTACAACGTCAGTTAAATACCATTATTATAAATTTATAGGACGGATGGCAATCTCGTTAAAGAACTCTCGTACAGGTGTTGAACACTAGACGATAACTAGACTTTGATTTTAAGAATATAAATTCGTACAACGTCAGTTAAATGCCATCATTATAAATTTATAGGACCGATGGCAATCTCGTTAAAGAACTGATAACTTTTAATATATTCTCAAAAAGTCTAATTTTTAGTCAAATTGACGAAATCACATTACAAATTTATTTAGATCATTCTCTTAAAAAAATAATTCTTTAGTCTCAAGGATATTGATTTTATTAAATTTAACTTACTCGATTTGATGTAATAGGTTGGATGATTTAATTGCTGATTTATAGCAAATGAACATAATTGAAGAGCTTCTACCAAAATATGAAATAACAAAAATTAGAGTCTACCTACCATAGGATCGTTTCTTGGATGTCCACTGACGAATGTTACATTTGCTTCGTCACCGGGATAGTATTTACTTTGAGCATCCTTCATAACATCGCCAAAACTCTTTCCATAATATGCTGTGTCATATATGACTCCAGCTTGCAGGGAAATTTGTTTATCTAAAAGGTTCTTTGGTCTAGGTCCGTCAGGTAATTTTTCACCTGTACACAAAGCTCTTGCTAATGTTTTGTATTCCTCAATGTATGCTTGCAATGTGTGAGGACCATATATTGTTGATGCTCCCTCATAACGTTGTACCTACAAAATAAGGCAAAAAAAATTTAATAACAGCATTATAAGTTAAAGTTTGTTTTATTACTGCATTAATTCAATGTCCAACTTAATTTTAATTATTGTGCACAGTTGAGTAAGTTTCGCCAAGTAAAGTAATAAAAGAAAGCCATGACAGTGTCTTTAAACCGAAGTGAAGTTTCAATTTCATCCCATGCAGGGTAAAAGCCCCAAATATGACATACTCTTTTTGAAATTTATGATTGGAACACGACAATTATTATGATGTTTACTATTATTATTTTTAATCTTCATGTGATTTTTGTAAATCATTAGGAATCGACAGAACAAAGTTCAGATGTGTCGCAAAAAATAATGTTGCCATATCTCCGAATCTAGAAAACGTGTTTTAGTATTAGATAGTACAAAATGAAAATAAGTTGTAATTATAATCTTGGACTTTTGTGAAATACTCATATTTGACTAAAAGTAATACAGTTCAATGATGAACTTCAAAATGCCACCGAAGAAGAACCATCCATCCTATAACACCATCCAAGCAAACATAACGCAACCAATATAAAGTTTATGTTTTCTTACAGCCATGTTAGATTGAGATGAAATACCCTGCAATTCTTACAAACAATTCTTAAACACTGTTTAATGCATACATTCCAACCTACGCTAATCATCTTTACACCAGTCGTTTTTGTTCTAATTTTTGTCGAAGTTAAGCAATACGGAGAGCTCTTTCAAATTCTAAAATGGTATGTGTGGAAGAACTGCAATTAATTTATCAAACACCTTCCTCTCAATAATGGGACAGAGCCTCACGAGCCCATTTTCTAGATTGACAAGTGAACACGCAAAGAGTCTCTCGTTCGTTGAGAGTAAGAAGATCTTTGTACTCTGCTCTAAATGTTATTCATGCTCAGCAGGTCTCTGCAGAACACATCCTGGACTGCTTGGGTCTTTCCAGGGAAGACTTATAGCTTCTCCCTTTTTGGTTCTCTATTTTCTGAGGGTTAATGGTCTAATGGACCTTGTCTGACTTCGTCAGACAGTTGAAGGAAAAGCCACAACAACAATCTCTCAATAAAATTAAGAATAAAATTAATTTTCAATAAAATTAAGAACAGGAGAGTGAGCAGGACATTGAGTAAGCTTAATTTTTTCACTTTCAAGAAGATCGACGACCAAGATCAAACGATAAGACATATTGTCATCCATGAATATGAATCAAGACCAACATCACCTCAATACTGACTCAAGGACTTTGTTTCCATACTTTTTAGACCCTTGTCAACGAGATATAGGACTGTGTGATGGCCATGCAACATTGTGCCTACCCCCACAGTGTCTCTTTTTGAAGGGCGATGATGTCTTCCAGTGAGGTTCCTTGGGCGAAGACAAATCCCACGTGTTTTCCCTATCATTATCCGACGAGTCCCTACAAGTGATTTGGTACAGTTTTATGAATGTTTACTTACGTTCTTCCACATTTGACGAGTTATGCATAACCTTAAGATACCAGTGCACACTAGAATGCAAAAAGTCAATAGTAAGGATGAAATAAAAGCATGTGTCCACATCAGAAAAAATACGAAGTAGTACGACTTTTAGTTTCAAAAGTGCCATTTCTTTACTTATTTCAGGAAAAAAGGCAACAGACATTTCAAATAATTAATATTTCCATTTCACAATGCATATAATCATTTCATCAGCATTGGAATTATGAAAAACCATTGCTTTTTTTTTGTCTGAAATCTTGACACATCCAAAATTGATGCACGTCATTCACAAAAGCTTTAATATCATTTTTTTTCAAAACAGACTGCCACAGATGGACAGAGTCCGTCATAGACTACAATCATTCGTCGATAAATATCCACATTTCTCACACCTTCTGTCACTATTACTGAGTGTTGTTCTGTTCTGAACATATCCATTTTAACAAGACTTTACATTCATATCAAATCTTCTCATAGAAACTGATTAATCAGTTATACGCAGTATGATGTTGTGATGTCACAATTGGCATTACATATTTATTTCCTATCCTTTAAAATATATTTACGAGTAATTACTTAAGCTTATTTTATTAATCGAATTATATTTAAAAAAATCAAAGACTTAAGCTTTTAAAACGAACATAAAATATTTATTATTTTTTTATAGATCAATGTAACAGATACTTTTTATTTTATTACTAATGCAGATTATTAATTCACTGTCGGCCTAATTGAAAACAAAAATCAATTTATAACTTTTTGATTCGAAATTTCTAAGTGCAAAAATGTTTCAGTTGCATGGTTGTAATAATTCTCATAAATTAGTTGGCGATTCGTGATAGCCAAGATATTTTTTAAACCCAATATTTATATGCGGGGTTGGCTTTGCTTTGGCTATGTTATATTTTAATAAATTGTCAATTTTGGATCTCCTGACCATGCTTCTCTTGTGTCCGTTGGGAACAAATTACACGCACTTTTCAATTTCTCAATAACAGTAGACTTTTTGTTAAAAAATATAAGTCTAAAATTTATTAAAGAAATTACCGCCCTAAGTCTCTTTAACACCATCAAAAAATGGTTTATGAAAGCATCGCCTTCGTTAACCTGAATTTAAAAATGAGAACAATGAAAGAGAGGGGGGAAAGAGGGGGACAAATTGGCAACTTTTTAAGCAGGTATTGATTTCTAGAAAATTAGACAGGATCAATGCCACTTTCCTGAATTCGATTTTGCTTAGTTAGAAAATCGATCAGTTGTTTGGGCATTGCGTGCTGAAAGTAACAGTTAGAAAATAAATAAATAAACACGTGGTAGATATTTGAGAAAATCATTATTGCAATATAATTTACTCTAATGGGGGATCAAAAAGGAATAAAATACCAAAATAAACGTTTTTCCTTTTAAACTTAGTCGACTCGTGGCTAACCTTAAAAGGATAAAAAATCTGAACTAAAATCACATTAGCGGTAAAATAAATACTCATAAACTGGAAAACTATTTATTACCTGATATTCTTCATATGTTGTGACGTATGACGAGTAAGTATTGCTAAGTCCAGCTATAACAACTTTATTATCAACAGAAGAGCATTTGTCCAAAATCTAAATTTAAAACTGCAATTCTATAGTATGAATTAATTACACACATATAAATTAAGATACGAGTCTGTGTAAATAATTAGAAACAATGATAAGAAATGGATATGTATGTAAAATAAGAGCCTATTTCATAATTGGAAGTAATAATAAAGATTGGAGACGTAAAAAAAGCCTACCTGTTTATTGATTATAAATAATGATTTGAGAGGCATACATTAATTAAAATAAAAGCTTATTTTATCACAGGATATTTGTATGTAATATTAAAATCGTTGCATAATTGTGAAATAGTGAATGCAAAAGGTATTTTTCATGCAAAAATACAAACTTTGAATGGAATTAGTTAAAATTCTCGAGAAATAAAGTTGTAATTTCTAACTTTTGTCAATCGCTATGATATTTCAGCTGACAAATACATAGCAAAATAAAATTGTTATGCACTCGTAACTCAAATACTCAGGATCTTAAAGTTCGATTATGGCAAAAATTAAATTCACTCTCACTTGCGCAATATGAGTCAATACTTACTTATTGTCTTGATTTTTGAATGTACGATTTTTAACTATCGAAATATTTGAAATTCTTATTTGAAAGGGTAGACCGATTCAAGTATTAAAATAAAATTATTGCTGTTATTGTGCACATAAAGTAGTAGCAAACGAGAATATAAAACTAGTTTTAAAAAAAATTGGTTAAATTACCATTCCTATTGGAAATATTTTACTGCATTATATATATCTTAATAATTACGTGGTAAATAATAAACCCTCAAAATATTCTTCGAAATATTTTTAACCGAATTGTAAAGACTACTTTCATAATAAAACTTGATGCATATAACGCATTTTAAAAGGGGGCATTTTTCAGAAGCGGTCATAAAATGAGTACATATAACTAATCAATATTATTTCTTATACATTAATATATACTTTTTCTAAACATTAAATTCTGTTGGATGATTAAAATCGAAGAAAATTATAAAAAAATAAACATAACTTATCAAAACATTGTATTGTAAAATCTATGTAGAATTAAGCAGTATTAAGGAAATGTGAGACGAATCATTTGAATATAGCGTGAGAAGGTAACCTAGTAATGATACATAGTAGTAAGATTGACTGAGACGAGACGAAAAGATTATTAGCACTACATATATCCAAGCTTTAATCCAAACGAAGGAACCAGTACCAAAATGGAGCTTATTCGGAATTAATCCAAATTATCCAGATTTGGAATCGGAATTAATTCTTTAGAATCCAAATGATAAGAGTCCAGAGAAACTAGCTATACTTTAGTAATATTACTAAATAAATACTGGTTAATTAATAAATTACGAAAAAAAATCGAAATCATGGAATTTTTTATTAATTTGTATTTATTTTCTTCGCCTCTCTCTACATTTAGGACTTAAAAGAGGGTATTTTGAAATTTTTTTTTTGAAGAAAAAAATTATAAAGGAAAAAAAATAAAAAGATGCGATTGCAAAATGTTGTTAAATTAATGAAACAATGATAAGTAGACTTTTAAATATTAGCTTTGTCGATTTTTTCAAATAAAAGTTTTTATTTACCTTTTTCACTGCATGGCGTGTTCTTCTTCCTGACATAGTCCTAAAAAATTGCAAAGATATTTTCATCTTTTGGTAATGCAGTAATATTAGAGTCATGAAAACGGTAAAAGGCTAAAAAGTTTAACTCTCACTCCACCACTTCCTTAGCTGACTAACATAAGGCTATATGGCAGTTGACTTCAAATGTTGACATTCTCGGTCGAGCCGACCGCTTATCTGGCTGACATAAGGCTAAAGGACATTTGAGTTCGAATGTTGACATTCACTATCCAGTCGACCGCATCATCGTCAAAAACTGACGTATCATCATTTGAGCCGTTCAGGGTTATCGATTAACTCAACTTCTTGAAATTTCTTAAATTTAAGTGTCAAAGCACTTGGATTAGTCATAGTTTTCTTAATCGATATAAATAAAGCAGAATATTTTTGTTTATGTATACTATACAAATCCGTAATTGGTCCGTACAACCGATCCACACCGAATTGGGCGTAGATACGTTTGAAAACATGGAGTACCTTTTATACCTTAAAATTTTCTCTGACAACCGGACAATACATACTTGGAATTGAAAAATTTAAATAAAAAATCGCAATTATTCCAACTGCTGTATTTGTCCCGAAAATTTACTCTGTTTTGTGAAGCAAATGTATTTATTTTACTGTATTTTAAGGCTGTTTCCCATACACTCCATGAAATAACGCTTTTAAACAAACAAACAAACAAAAAAATTTTTTTTCCTAATTGTTGTAAGTTTGTACGTACCTTCAGCTAACGTTTTTCTATATTGATAATGAAATTAGCACAAAATTCCAAAGCGCAGAAAAACCATAATTTACAAAAACGAAAAGTGTTTGAGATTAATTTTTTCAACACATATTTGAAAATCTATTGAAGACTGCATTGTTTAGATTAATTAAACTACATGCGAATTAAAAATGAGGGATTTAAAATGATTTTCATCTAAATAAAAATATCTCGTTAAATTGGAAGTGTTTTTTAAAATCATCCATAAACCTTTCTTCTTTAAAGTTTTAAAACTTTTGGCTGCTTTAATCGGTTAAATATTTATTAAAAATTTTACACATATTAAAAAATTAAGTTCCAGTTTAATGGACTTATTTTATTATATTTTTTTTATTTTCTTCAGCAGAAAGGCATTAAAAAACATCTCTAATACTTTTAAACTGACTACAAAATAATTTTCTTTCAATTTTGCAAAAGCACAATTCATCGGCACAATTTCAGGAAATGAGAGTACACACCCAAGCAAACAATTTTTATCAAAGAATGCATGGTCGAAAACAAAGAGCAAAACCGCTAGAGGGCGTCAAAGTTTATGTTCTTATATGAGGCAAAAACACACAAAGAACGATGAAGTTAAGTTATAAAAGCAAATTTAATGGCGTGTGATTACATTAAGTGTTCAAAACAGTGGCCGGCAGCAACTATGCACGCAGTACAACGGCGAAGAAAAGATAGACGAACATTTTGAAACACACCAGACATATCACAAACTTTCACTGCAGCGGCCGAAAGATTGGCGACAAGTAACGTAGCGCAGTAACTCGCAACAGGAATGGAGCTTTCACGTTTGCATCAAACAACTTTCCAAATACGCCAGCACCTTTGCATTTTGTTTTCGACCATGCATTCTTTGATAAAAATTGTTTCCCTGGGTGTGTACTATCACTTCCTAAAATTTTGCTTATCTTTTTAGAATAATCCTGTATATTTAAAAGATGAGAAAGGAAACGTGCTGAAAAGTATTTTTAAGTACCGAGGTAAAAACATTTCTACCAGAAAAGAATAATTATTTACGTAAATTCAGCAGGAACCGACACCATTACTAGTTGCCCAATTTTCAATATCTGAGTTGGGACTATAAATGGTTGCCACTGGTAGGGGAACGTCATCTAAAAAAAAATATTCGAATGTATATTTTATATATTCAAGTACACGATTCAGAAAATAATATATTTATGAAATAAAAATTATGAGGATAAAAGGAGGGTATTCTTACCTCACCTGTTGGTAACAAAATTGGCTTTGGTTTTTGGCACTCTTTGAGTTCTTTACTAGGGGATGCAATTAAATCTCGTACTAAATTCCATATCATACTTCCTGATTTTGTTCCTAGAGTCAGATTTTTTTATCATAAACCTAATGGCAAACAATGTGAACAAACTATTTTTGAATGAAATATACAGAATGTTCAAAATCGTTAACATCGCCTATTATTCAGTCATGAAAAATCTCCCAATCATTCGCAATCATGGTTTAAAATTATTGTGGGGAGAGTAGTTACAGACCATGTCAACCTTCATCTATGAAAAGGTACCCCGACATAGAGTCGAGTTAACATGTCTTACATACTAGTGAATTGTAGTTGTAATTTTGTAGTGGTAGATACGCTACAGTACTCCCCCACTAGAACTATAGCTATGATAGAATTCGATGAATGGATGCCACTAGTTGATTCATTGCTGTTTTATGCGAAGCCGGGAGAGCTGTATTAAGATCACCGTATTCTTTTGAGTGCTGAATGTGAGAGGTGTATTAACTTCACTGTTGTAGTCGCTCCTGTGTTGCCGTCATAGGTGAAAGCCCTTATATAGCAAGACGGAAAAGAGAAAAACCTGGTACGTAAAACATTTCATTCCAGCATTTTTTTCGAAAAAAATGAAATATCTGTAACTATCAAGATTTCTTTTATAATTATGGCATATATATAAAACTGCTTCTTTTCCAAGATAAAGTAAATATTGTTGAAAAATTTAAAAAGATAATAAGTAAACTCCTCCCCAAAACTAGCTATAACTGAAATGGTTTTACTACCAGCCTTTCCTCTTTTCCGTCTCGCTTTCACCCCTGNACCAATGTGGGGAGAGTAGTTACAGACCATGTCAACCTTCATCTATGAAAAGTTACTCCGACATTGAGTCGAGTTAACATGTCTTATATACTAGTGAATTGTAGTTGTAATTTTGTAGTGGTAGATACGCTACATTATATTTTTCGAATCCATATAAATATGAAGAAAAAGATATGCGTACACAGGGATTAAAGTTATATTTTTCGAATCCATATAAAATATGAAGAAAAAGATATGCGTACACAGGGATTAAAATTATATTTTTCGAATTCATATAAAATATGAAGAAAAAGATATGGGTACACAGGGATTAAAATTATATTTTTCGAATCCGTATAAATATGAAGAAAAAGATATGCGTACACAGGGATTAAAATTATATTTTTCGAATTCATATAAAATATGAATAAAAAGATATGCGTACACAGGGATTAAAATTATATTTTTCGAATCCATATAAAATATGAAGAAAAAGATATGAGTACACAGGGATTAAAATTATATTTTTCGAATCCGTATAAATATGAAGAAAAAGATATGCGTACACAGGGATTAAAATTATATTTTTCGAATTCATATAAAATATGAATAAAAAGATATGCGTACACAGGGATTAAAATTATATTTTTCGAATCCATATAAAATATGAAGAAAAAGATATGCGTACACAGGGATTAAAATTATATTTTTCGAATCCATATAAAATATGAAGAAAAAGATATACGTATACAGAGATTAAAATTAAGGATGTACCGGGTAATGAGCTTTTACCCGATAACCGGTCAGGGTTTTTTTTTACTTCCCAGATATTACCCGGACCTGGCAAAAGAATTTCACAACCCATAATCAAACCTGGCCAACACTTTTTTACCTTCGGCACAATCATTCTTAGGTTTTTAATAACATTTAAATAAATTATTTTGAAAATAATTGAACTTTTTTGAAATTCATGTATTTCATCAGTTTCTTAACAATCAAGCTGAATTAACTACCTAATGCACGGCATATTTTTACACTTGTGCAGAATTTTAATTCGGAGAAATCATGGTATTGTGGGCACCTTTGGGATAACGAAATACGTTCGCTAAAGTATCCGCATAAGAGTAGAAAATATACATTCAGAAATCTAATTCTGAAAACTATTTTAACTGAATTAATATGATAGTCAAATAAATACAAAATTAAAAATATGGAATTACATTGATATTTAAATTAAATAAAATCATAATGAATGAAATTCAAAGATGACTGTAGAAAAATACAATGCAGAGTCGGAAAAAAAGAGAATTATTTTTATAACTTTTGAATGGTGGACCGGATTTTTATTCTGTAAAGTATAATGGTAATATCTCAAAGAAATCTCTTCAATTATATCTAGCAGCTAACTGTTTATTTTGAAGAAAAAAACGTATTTTTCTGTGAAATTTTTTTTTATAGCATTCGATTTATCATGCGAAAATAGCTCCTGAAACCAAGTTTCTTAAAATTCTGATAATTAAGAGTGCGTGGAAAGAGAAATGAAAATTTGGCATAAAAAAATTTAAAATCTCCTATTTTTAGAATTGGTAGAAACAGATTTATGTAACTCATCAATTAGGAATCGAGCAATCTTTAAGTAACTATATTGAATAAACTTACATTCAGTACAGTAAAGTAAAATGTGACTCCAAATTTAAGAAATGAATAAAAAGTGGTAGCTAGATAATTAGCCTAAAGATTTTCATTTGGAACTATAATTAATTTTTAAGAAATAAGAGTCAGCTAGCATAATAAATTTTTTTTAACATACACCTTAATATATTATAATTTTTTCCATCTATCACTTTCTATATCCCGCTGGTATATATATTTATTCTGGGTACCCGAAGCGGTGGGATAAAGTATTAAATTTTCAGCGGGTACTCGGACCCGGCAAAATTTTTGAACCCAGTACATAGTAAAAATTTATATTTAACTGATAAAAATTTATTAAAATCTGCGAATCATAATCAGGATTAATTACCATTAGACGGCACTCAGAAAATAAAAACAAGTTTCTAATAATCCTCCCTTATCGAGATTCGCTGCTTTTCCCTTTCTTCTGACAATCAAACTGGTTTGGAAACTTTTAATTCGATTATTTCTGTACTTGAATTTTATTATGTTTCAAATTCTTACAATGTTTTAACCTCAAATATTATTTTTGAACCGTCAAGTGCAACATTTTCTGACAGCACTTTTTACCAAGATTAAAAAGAAAGTAAATTAAAGAAAGTGCAAATTGCATCGAATATGTTTTTATTGCCCCATTTTAAGGGAATAAAATTGTTATTAGTTTAACTTAATTTTCAGTTATTTTTAGTGCATTTTTGTTGCATAAATTTAAAGTGGTATGTATTAATAATTCAACCGAGTAGACTTTTCAATTATTATTATTTGTCAAAAACTAGTCAAAACATTTGTTAATATTAATAATAAATTAAATATAAATACCTTGTTTAAAATCAAAACCTCCTGGTCCGTCCGTCGTTCCGGCACCGAAACTGTAACCCATAGACGGTTTACACGTTGTTGCCTATAAATTAAAATTTAAATAAATTCTTAATTCATACATAAAAATTTAAACCATTCTGAATTCAAGTAAATATAGCGAGGTATTAATCTGGATTCAAATAAATATTTCCGAATACTATTCTCAATTTAAATAAGTATTTCAAATCACTTGTTTCAAGTCAAACAAATATCTCAGAATGTTATTCTCATTTCTAATAAATATTTTAGAATAAAATATTCTCAATTCAGAGAAATATTTCAGAATACCATTCACAAATCAAATAAATATTTCACAATATAATTTGAAATTCAAATATATATTTCAGCATACTATTCGAAATTAAAACAGATATTTCAGAATGCTATTCAAATAAATATTTTATAATACTAATTCTAATACAAAGTAAATTAACATAATGCTTTTCTCAATTCAAATAAATATTTCAGAATACTATTCTCAAAACAAACCATTTCAGAATGCTGATAATTTAGAATAATTTAGTATTTCTTTATTAGTTGTACAGTGCGACAATTAAAAAACGGACCACCCTGAATTATTTTTGATCTAATGATCGGATCTTCACGTTCTAGAACTCAATCTAAATGATTCAAAGGGGTGATCCGAAATAGGCGAATTAATTAGTGTAGACGATACAGACACAAAAAAGTACTTTCTCTGAATAAACATACTTTTTTTTCCGACAGATTCAGTTTTCGCATCCGCAATATATAGGAGGTAGTCCAATCAGGGAAATAGGGTCCACATAGTTTGGTCAGGAGAGCGATTCAATGTCTGGACCTCTTAATGTTAATTTTAATTTTTACGTATTTCGCCATATCTCGAGAACTTTCTAAACGAATTAAAAAACCTTTGCAAGCAATTATAAAATTTATTTATTCAGAGATAATTCCATGCAAAATATAAATTTTAGTAAGTACTTATTATTTTTTATTACTTTATTTAATAATGATCGAAAGCATTTTGAACTGAAAAGTATGCAGCTTTCAACATGATTTTAAAGCATTAAATTTTACATGGCAAAATCCAAAATTTGAGAGAAATCGGCCAAATAGTTCCTGAGATATATAATTTTAAAAATACGTATTCTCAAAAATTCAAAAAAAAAATTAACATTAACGGATCAAAATTTTGGATCGCTCTCCTGATCAAAATATAGGGATCATAGTTTCCAGATTGCTGCAGGCCCCTATATTTTGGTAGTCAGAAATCCAAATCCGTCGAGAAAACGGTATGTTTATTCAGAGAAAGTACATTTTTGTATCTGATTTCATAATTTAAAATATCGTCTACCCTAATTAATTTGTATATTTGAGATCAGCAACCTCGAATAGTTAAGAATGAGCCCTACAACGTGAAGATCCGATCATTAGATCAGAAATTATTCAGGGTGGTCCGTTTTTTATTTTGTGAATTGTACATCAGTTATAGTAAATATGAGTGTTTATTAGTATATTGGTTCAGTTCAGAGTAAAGTAAGATAAGAAAATAAATACCCAAGATCGTAAATCGGGTAGTCGAATTTGTGAGGCCTAATAAAAATTCGTTACATGATTTCAAACATATAAGTTCTATCGGTTTAAACTGTTTCGTTTTTATAACCATTGGAGTTAAAAAAGTTTATTTAGGTTTAGTAAATCTTTTCTTGAGAGTTATCAAACTTTAGGAAATAATATGGGTTGTGTTATTACACAGATGCTTCGTTAAGTTTTTGCATACGAGAGATGAAACGGAAGCGTTTGCATCATCATCATTATAGTTGACCAGACAGCCCAATGTGAGCCAATGCCTTCCTCTGAAGATTTCTCCATGACGACTTCCGATTTATCTTTGATCTCCAATTTTTTAAATTAATTGCTAGGAAATCAGACTCCACTGAGTCAGCCCATCTCAACCACGGCACTTGGGATTTGGGATAAAAAGCGGTAAAGTACATTAAATGATGAAATTACATTATAATTAACTGATGAGGAAAGACAGAAAAGTTAAATTCTTTCTAAAAATAATTCATAAAAATTTTTTTTTCTTATTTCTATTAAAATTTACACTAATAATCATAATTTCAACACATCCCTGCTAAGAAAAGTTTGACTTTAAGGAAAGAAATAATAAAAAATAATTTATTTATTTATTTGTTTTTTTATAGATTCTAACGAAACTACGTTAAGCTTACCACTGTAAAAAAAAACATATGAACGTCAATTTTTATGACGAAAAAAGCTATAAATCACTGGAAATCAATTTTTTATAAAATAAGGAGCTGTCATCTTATGCCCTCTGTTAAAAAAAAGTTTCTTTTTCTAAGGAAAAGAAACAATTAATCATAAAATATCCTTATTTCTGCTAAAATTAAAGAGTAAAAGAATTGATTTTCAGGCATTTGGATAAACAAATAACATTTTTATTTAATTCTGAAAACTCTAAGAGAAATAGGTCCCAGCATGTCGTTTTAAGTTAACTATTCGGTTTTATTCAGTTTTTTTCTTTTCTATTTTCACATAAATCTATATTCACGTGATCGCATTTTAGTTTATTTTATATCAGGCGTTGAACAGCCGACCTAATTCTGAATGTACGACTATCAATGTTTAACTCTGTAGTTTTGTAATTTCAACCCCAACCCAGAAGACAAGAGAACTCTTGGATCAAGGATTGGAGCAGACTAACCTTTTTGAGAGAACTTACCGCATTTGCGTAACATGGGGGGGGGGAATCTCCCCCGGTTAGCCCAACGGTAACGGATTCTAACCCATAAACCCTCTACCACTAAAGATATTTTAAGTCAGCACTGCGGTCGATGCTAGCAGAAAGCAGAATTCGTGCCAATCAGTCACCGCTGGAATTCGAACCCCTCAATGGGAGGCAAATGCTCTATCACCTGAGCTACCGCGGCTCCCGTGATTGAATTTTAAAAGTTTATTTAGTGCATACTGAAATAAAACTTTAATTTTTACAAATAATTTTGTAAATGCAATATGTTCATAAATTACACATTGCGTATCTTTCATTTTGTATGCTTATGATACATATATA